CCCAGGGGGACAGCTTGAGGCTCTGTCTCAAAAAAAAAGAACTGTGAACTACATTTGGGTAATCATCTTTTCACTGTTAACAAACAAGCCCCATGCTCTTTTATAAATTTCAAAGGAGTTCTTGCTACTAAAAAAGGAATATGGTTTTTCATATTCAGGAGAAGGCAGAAATAGAAGAAATAAAAGGCACATGATTCTATATTTTCTTCTCACAGGTTTGGGTATAGATCAGATAAATAGGTTTGGTGATTTGCTTTTTGCTAAACCAGCAACCTGGCAAGCATCTAGGTTACTCCAAGTTATTAATTTCTTACTTCACACAAAATTAAACTACTTAGTAAGGTGAGTTAATTTAAAAAGTTAACTGAAGTTCACATAAAAAAGACACAATTTCCAAGACATTAATTAATAGATGCATTATACTAAATCATCATCAATGGTCTATCAACATTATATACGTATACAGACATACATCCATGTATATGCATTTCATACCAATATACTGAAGCTTATTTTCTTCCAGCTTGGATGCCATTACAAAATTGTTTGCCCAAACTTCAAGAACAAAAAAGTGGGGCAGTGCCTGTGGGTCAATGAGTAGGGTGCCAGCCCCATATATTGAGAGTGGCAGGTTTAAACCTGGCCCTGACCAAACTGCAACAAAAAATAGCTGAGTGTTGTGGTAGGCGTCTGTGGTACCAGCTATTTGGGAGGCTGAGGCAAGAGAATCGCCTAAGCCCAAGAGCTGGAGGTTACTGTGAGCTGTGACGTTACAGCATTCTACTGAGGGTGACAAAGTGAAGACTCTTTCTCTAAAAAAAAGCGAAAACAAAAAGGTACTTGCAACTTTTTGCCAGCTAAAAAAAAAATCTAGCAAGGTAAAAATCAAGGTATTTTGAATTAATTCAGTTCAGTTTTACTAAACATCTCCAAGGAGCTAAAGAATTAGTTCTGTTTGATGTATCCAGTTTTAACTTTGGTCATTTCTTATAATTGCTGAGTTCTACTTACCTACGTGCCCAATGAATACCACATTTACATGTTCCTTTTTGGGAGCACCTGGCGGTGCAACCACAGATTTAGGTTTTGGTATTTCCTCTTCCTCCTCCATCATTTCTTGGGCACTTTCCTCAGGTGGCCTTCCATCTCCCGAGGGACCACCCCCTGTCTCCACTTCACTTATTTCTTCTTTGTGCTCCCATGATTCTTCTGGAGACATTTCTGTCTCTCCATTTTCTACTGAAATAAGAAATTTTAACTTAATATTCGGTAAAAGACTTATAATCAGTACTTTAAAATACACAAGTTTTAAAACAACAAATGGAACTTTGGGTGAGTGGACAAAGTCTAAAATCAGAACACAGATGACTGTGAAAGGCCTTAGGAGATATTTTTCAAGTAATAAAACTTATTACTTAAATATAATCACCTTGTGATCATGAACCCTTTAAGAATAAAGTTACAAAACGAAAGAAATTTTTCCCA